TTTTTATTTAAATAAAAACTTATTTCAATTTTTTATTTAAATAAAAAATGTTTTATTTAAATAAAATGTTAAATAAATTAAATATATAAATTATAAATAAATAAATAAAAATAATATAAATAAATTAATTAATTAATTAATAGATAAATATAAATAAATAAATAAATAAATAAATAAATAAATAAATAAATAAATAATTTTTATTTAAATAAAAAATATTTATTTTTTATTTAAATAAAAATTAATTAATTTATGGAAAATATAAAATTATTCCCTGACCGGGAATCGAACCCGGGCCGCGGCGGTGAGAGCGCCGAATCCTGACCACTAGACCACCAGGGAGATAAATGGTGTAAATTATCACCCAATATACCACGGAAATAAATAAATTTAATTATTTTGTTTTTTGGAGGGGTTAAATCTGCTGGAAAAAAGGGATTTTGTGTGTTTTTCCCCTTTTTTTTAATATCCTGCAATCGATAAAATCTCTCCCAACCCTCCAACCAACATTTCACCCACCCGACTGCGGCTTCTCCTCGCAGAAATGACGGAAAAAAGGGAATTTTCCAACCGAAATGGGGTCAAGGGGAAAGGCAGAAATGATGGGAAAAGGGGATTTAATGTCAATATTTATCTACCAAATTGCGACCCAAATAAAAGATTTTTTGGTTAAATTCTGCCTAAAATTGGGTCAAATTCTGCCCAAAAATTCGGTCAAATTCTGCCCAAATTGGGCCAAATTCTGGCCAAAATTGAGTCAAATTCTGCCCAAATTGGGCCAAATTCTGCCCAAATTGGCCCAAATCTCTGCCCAAAATTGTGTCAAATTCCACCCAAAGTTGGGTCAAAATCTGGCCAAAATTGGGCCAAATTCTGCACAAATTCTGCCCCAAATTGGGTCAAATTCTGCCCAAATTGGCCCAAATCTCTGCCCAAATTGGGTCAAATTCTGCCCAAATTCTGCCCAAAATTGGGTCAAATTCTGCCTAAAATCGGGTCAAATTCTGCTCAAAGTTGGGTCAAAATCTTCCCAAATTCGGCCCAAAATTGGGTCAAATTCTGGCCAAATTTGGGTCAAATTCTGCCCAAAAATTCGGTCAAATTCTGCACAAATTGTGTCAAAATCTTCCCAAATTCTGCCCAAAATTGGGTCAAATTCTGGCCAAAATTGGGTCAAATTCTGGCCAAAATTGGGCCAAATTCTGCACAAATTCTGCACAAATTCTGCCCCAAATTGGGCCCAAAATTGGGTCAAATTCTGCCCCAAATTTGGTCAAATTCTGCCAAAATTCTGGCCAAAATTGGGCCAAATTCTGGCCAAAATTGGGTCAAATTCTGGCCAAAAATTCGGTCAAATTCTGCCCAAATTGGCCCAAATCTCTGCCCAAAATTGGGGCAAATTCTGCCCAAAATTCGGTCAAATTCTGCCAAAATTCTGCCAAAAATTGGGTCAAATTCTGGCCAAAACTGGGTCAAATTCTGCCCAAATTGGGTCAAATTCTTCCCAAATTCTGCTGAAAATTGGATCAAATTCTGGCCAAAATTGGGTCAAATTCTGCCCAAATTGGGCCAAATTCCACCCAAAGTTGGGTCAAATTCTGGCCAAAATTGGGCCAAATTCTGCACAAATTCTGCCCCAAATTGGGTCAAATTCTGCCCAAATTGGCCCAAATCTCTGCCCAAAATTGGGTCAAATTCTGCCAAAATTCTGCCCCAAATTGGGTCAAATTCTGCTCAAATTGGCCCAAATCTCTGCCCAAAATTGGGTCAAATTCTGCCAAACTTCTGCCAAAAATTGGGTCAAAATCTGCCCAAAATTGGGTCACATTCTGCCCAGATTGACAAAAGTTTGGGAAATTGAGGATTTGGGTGGGTGGAAGCGGGAAATGGAGGATTCGGAGAAAACATGGGGGAAAAAATGGAAAAAATGAGGGGAAAGAGAAGAAAAAGGGCTCAGATGGGATGAAAATGTAAAAGTGAGAGGGGAAAAGGGGAAAAGGAAGAAAAGGAGGAAAAAAGGAGGAAAAAAGGAGGAAAAAAGGAGGAAAAAAGGAGGAAAAAGGAGGAAAAAAGGAGGAAAAAAGGAGGAAAAAAGGAGGAAAATTGGAGTGTTTCTGCCCGGTTTCGAACCGGGGACCTTTCGCGTGTGAGGCGAACGTGATAACCGCTACACTACAGAAACGCTGCGCGCGCTCCGCGCCACAGCGAGGGAAAAGCGCGGGAAAGGGAGTTTGGGAAAGGCCGGAACTGGAATAGGAACCGGATCGGGAATGGGAGAGGGACCGGGAATGGGACCGGGAATGGGACCGGGAATGGGACCGGGAGTGGGACCGGAACCGGGAGTGAGAGAGGGGCCAGGACCGGGAATGGGACCGGGACAGGGAGCGGGACCGGGAATGGGACCGGGAATGGGACCGGGACCGGGAGTGAGAGCGGGAGTGGGACCGGGAATGGGACCGGGAATGGGACCGGGAGTGGGACCGGGAATGGGACCGGGACCGGGAATGGGACCGGGAGTGGGACCGGGAATGGGACCGGGAATGGGACCGGGACCGGGAATGGGATCGGGACCGGGAGTGGGACCGGGAATGGGACCGGGACCGGGACCCAGACCGGGACCCAGACCGGGAATGGGACCGGGAGTGGGACCGGGACCGGGACCCAGACCGGGAATGGGACCGGGAATGGGACCGGGAATGGGACCGGGTCCGGGACCGGGACCGGGAGTGGGACCGGGACAGGGAATGGGACTGGGACCAAGATCAGGACCGGGAGTGGGACCGAGAGTCGGAGTGGGACCGGGACCAAGATCAGGACCGGGAGTGGGAGTTGGACCGAGAGTTGACGTGGGACCCGGACCGGGAGTGGGACCGGGAGTGGGACCGGGACCAGGACCGGGACCGAGAATGGGACCGGGACCGGGAGTGAGAGTGGGGCCAGGACCGGGAATGGGACCGGGAATGGGACCGGGACCGGGAGTGAGAGCGGGGCCAGGACCGGGAACGGGACCGGGAATGGGACCGGGACCCGGACCGGGACCAGGAATGGGACCGGGAATGGGACCGGGACCGGGACCGGGACCGGGAGTGGGAGGTGGACCGAGAGTCGGAGTGGGACCCGGACCGCGACCGGGACTAAGATCAGGACCGGGACCGGGAGTTGGACCGAGAGTTGGAGAGGGACCCGGACCCGGACCGGGACCGGGAGTGGGACCGGGAATGGGACCGGGACCGGGAATGAGAGCGGGGTCAGGACCGGGAATGGGACCCGGACCCGGACCAGGACCAGGACCGGGACCGGGAACGGGACCGGGAATGGGGCTGGGACCGGGAGTGGGACCGGGAATGGGACCAGGAATGGGACCGGGACCGGGAGTGGGAACGGGACCTGGACCGAGAGCGGGACCGGGAGTTGGACCGAGAGTCGGAGTGGGACCGGGATCAGGTCCGGGACCGGGAGTGGGACCCGAACCAGGTCCAGAACCGGGATCGCGGGGCTCGGACCGCCCCGTTCCGCGCTGGGGGCGGAGTTTCCCACCAAAGCCCCGCCCTTTCCCCTTTTAGCCCCGCCTCTTCCCTCCTTTAGCCCCGCCCCTCGGTCCTCCAGCACCACCGAGTTGCGCGGGCGGCCACACCCCCACCGGAAGTGACGCTCCCGCCCTCTTTCCGCGGTTGCTCGGCAACCGGAGCCACTCCCGGTCACGTGTCGCGCCGGAAGGCGGAAGTGCCGCGGCGTTTCCGGCCGTGGCGGAGCCGCCGCCGGGAGAGAACCGGGAGAGAACCGGGAGAATCGAAGGAGAACCGGGAGAGAGAGAACCGGGAGAGAACCGGGAGGGAACCGGGAGAGAACCGGGAGAATCGAAGGAGAACCGGGATAACCGGGAGAGAACCGGGAGAGAACCGGGAGAGACCCGGGAGAGACCCGGGAGAGAACAGGGAGAATCGAAGGAGAACCGGGACAACCGGAAAAGCACCGGGATAACCGGACGGACACCGGGATAACCGGAAGGGCACCGGGACCAAGCACCGGGACAACCGGGAGAGAACCGGGAGAGAACCGGGAGAACCGGAGGAACACCGGGACAACCGGAAGAGCACCGGGAACAAGCACCGGGATAACCGGAAGAGCACCGGACCCTCACCGGGACAACCGGAGGAGCACCGGACGGGCACCGGGACAACCGGGAAGTCACCGGCGGCTCCTCTGGTAAAAGATCCCCGGGACACACCGGCGAGGCCTAAAAGGCACCGGCAAAGGGAGGGAGGAAGAGGAGGAGGAGGAGGAGGAGGAGGAAGAGGAGGAAGATCCCCATTAATTAAAATCCCTTTTTATTGAGATTCTGGAAGTGGGGAAAATTCCTGGAAAAATAACTTTGGCACGGAGGAAAGGAGGAGAAAAAAGAGGAGGAAGAGGAGGAGGAGGAAGAGAAGGAAAAGGAGGAGGAGGAGGAAGAGAAGGAAGAGGAGGAAGAGGAGGAGGAGGAAGAGGAGGAGGAAGAGGAAGAAGAGAAAGAGGAGGAGGAGCAGGAGGAGGAGGAAGAGGAAGAAGAGTCGAAGGAGGAGGAGGAGGAGGAAGAAGAGGAGAAGGAGGAGGAAGAGGAGAAGGAGGAAGAGGAGGAGCAGAAGAAGGAGGAGGAGAAGAAAGAGGAGGAGGAGGAGGAGGAAGAAGAGGAGGAGAAGAAGGAGGAAGAGAAGGAGGAAGAGGAAGAAGAGAAGAAGGAGGAGGAGAAGGAGGAAGAAGAGGAGAAGGAAGAGGAAGAGGAGGAGGAAGAGGAGAAGAAGGAGGAGGAGGAGGAAGAGGAAGAAGAAGAGGAGGAAGAGGAGGAGAAGGAGGAGGAAGAGGAGGAGGAAGAGGAGAAGGAGGAAGAGGAAGAAGAGGAGGAGAAAGAGAAGAAGGAAGAGAAGGAGGAGGAGGAGGAGAAGGAGGAAGAGGAGGAGGAAAAGGAGAAGGAGGAGGAAAAGGAGGAAGAGGAGAAGGAGGAAGAGGAAGAAGAGGAGGAGGAGGAAGAAGAGGAGAAAGAAGAAGAGGAGGAGGAGGAGGAGGAAGGCTCAGCCCCGCCATGGCGGCGCTCGCAGCCGCCGCCGCCCGGCCGGACCCGGTGGAGACGCTGCAGGAGGAGGCCATCTGCGCCATCTGCCTGGATTATTTCGCCGACCCCGTGTCCATCGGCTGCGGCCACAACTTCTGCCGCGGGTGCATCTCACGCCTCTGGGCCCGCGAGGAGGAGGAGGATGAAGATGAAGACGAAGATGAAGATGAAGATGAGGAGGAAGACGCGCTGGATGTAGAACAAGAAGAAGAGGAGGATGAAGAAGAAAATGGTGGTGGCGGCGCGGTTGAGGAGGATGAGGATGATGAGATGTGGGAGGAAGAGGAAGAGGAGGATGAGGAAGGCGCTCTGTGGGAAGAACCCGCTGAGGATGAGGATGGTGAGGATGATGATGAAGAGGAAGAAGAAGAAGAAGAAGAACCATCAACATGGCGCGATGAGGACGGCCTTTACTTCACCGACAACGACTACGAAGACGCGATGGAGGAAGACGTCGAGGAGGAGGAAGAGGAAGAAGAAGAAGAACACGAAGATGATGATGATGATGATGAAGATGATGAAGACCACCACCCAACCCCGCCCCTTTTCACCTGCCCGCAATGCCGCAAATCCTTCTTCCAACGCGACTTTCGGCCCAACCTCCAGTTGGCCAACATGGTGCAGATCATCCGCGAGCTGCACCCGCGCCCCGCGGGGGTCCCGGGGATTTTGGGGGTCCCGGGGGTCTCCTCGGGGGTCCCCGCGGCTCCCGGGGGTCCCCCCGAGCTGTGCCCGGAGCATCAGGAGCCGCTGAAGCTCTTCTGCCAGGAGGAGCAGGCGGCGATCTGCGTGGTGTGCCGCGAGGCGCGGCAGCACCGCCGGCACAGCGTGCTGCCGCTGGACGAGGCCGTGCAGGAGTGCAAGGTGAGGACTTAAAGAGTGTTTTTTTATTTTTTTTTAGGGTTTTTAAAGATTTTTAAAGGTTTTTTTAGGTTTTATTTTAAAGATTTTTTTTAGATATTTTTAGATATTTTTTTGGAATTTTTTTAGATTTTTTTTAAGATTTTTTAGGAATTAAAAAAATTTTTTTTAGATTTTTTTAGGGTTTTTTTAAAGATTTTTAAAAGATTTTTTTAGATTTTTTTAGGATTTTTTGGGGTTTTTTAAAGATTTTTTTAAGATTTTTTTTTAGATTTTTTGGGAATTTTTTAGATTTTTTAAAGATTTTTTTGGGATTTTTTTGGGAATTTTTTTAGATTTTCTTTAAGATTTTTTGGAATTTTTTAGGGTTTTTTTAGAATTTTTTTAGGGTTTTTAAAAGATTTTTTTAGATTTTTTTAGATTTTTTTAAGAATTTTTTAGAATTTTTAGGTTCTTTTTAGGGTTTTTTTAGATTTATTTAGGATTTTTTTAGATTTTTTTAAAGATTTTTTTAAGATTTTTTTTGAATTTTTAAGGGGTTTTTTTTGGTGTTTTTTTCAGATTTTTTTTTAGATTTTTTTAGAATTTTTTTTAGATTTTTTAAAAAAATATTTTGGAATTTTTTAGAATTTTTTTAGGTTTTTTTGGGTTTTTTAAAGATTTTTTTAGATTTTTTGATTTTTTTTAATAATTTTTTAGGGTTTTTTAGGGTTTTTGCAGGTTTTTTATGGGGTTTATGGGGTTTTTTGGGGTTTTTGCAGGTTTTTTTATGGGGTTTATGGGATTTTTGTGGGGTTTTTTTGGGGTTTTTATTAGATTTTTGTGGGATTTTATGGGGTTTTTGCAGGTTTTTTATGGGGTTTGTGGAGTTTTTGTGGGGTTTTTGTGGGTTTTTGCAGGTTTTTTATGGGGTTTTATTGGGGCTTTTTTGGGGTTTTTGCAGGTTTTTTATGGGGTTTTTGGGGGGTTTTTGGGGGTTTTTTTATGGGGTTTATGGGGTTTTTGTGGGTTGTTTTTGGGGTTTTTTATGGGGTTTATGGGATTTTTGTGGGGTTTTTGGGGTTTTTATTCGATTTTTCTGGGTTTTTTTGGGGTTTTTGCAGGTTTTTTATGGGGTTTATGGGATTTTTTTAGGGTTTTTGCAGGTTTTTTTCATTGTTTGGGATTTTTGGTGTGATTTTGCACAGAAATTGAGAATTTTCCCTCTCTCCCAACGCCGATTTCCCCCAGAAACAGCTCCAGAGGCACCTGGAGCCGCTGCGGGAGCAGCTGGACGCCGTCCTGAAGCAAAAATCCAGCGAGGAGGAGAAAATCTCCGTGCTCAGGGTGAGAAAAATACACAATTTTTTTACATTTTTTTCATTTTGAGTTTTTTTAGATTTTTAAAATTTTTTAATTTTTTTTTTAAATTTTTCTAATTATTTTTAATTTTTAAATTTTTTAAAATTTTTTAAAATTTTTAAAAAATATTTTAACTTTTTAAATTTTTTTAATTACTTTATTTTTAAATTTTTTTCTCTTTTTAAAATTTTTTAAAATTTTTAAATTTTTTAAATTTTTAAATTTTTTTTAAATTTATTTTTAATATTTTTTAATTTTAAAAATTTTTTTAGATTTTTAGACATTTTTTTAAATTTTTTTTTATTTTTCTAATTCTTTTTAATTCTTAAAATTTTTTAACTTTTTAAAATTTTTTATTTTAAATTTTTTAACTTTTTTAATTTTTTAAATTAATTTATTTTTAAATTTTTTTCACTTTGTAATCTTTTTTGAATTTTTTTAAATTTTTAAAATTTTTTTAATTTAATTTTTTAATTTTTAAAATATTTTTCCATTCAATTTTTTTCATTTTTAAAATTTTTTTAAATTTAATTTTTTAAATTTTTAATATTTTTTAATTAAATATTTTAATTTTTAATTTTTTTTAAATTTTTAATTTTTTTTTAAATTCTATTAAATTATTTTAATTTTTCCTAGATTAATTTCCACCCCCTTTTTTCCCCCTCCCCGCGTTGCAGGACCAGCTGCATGCGGAGGCGCAGGACCTGGACGATGACGTCGCAGCGTTTTTATAATTTTTTTTAATTTAATTTTTTAATTTTAAATTTTTTTCATTTAATTTTTTAATTTCTATATTTTTTAATTTAATTTTTAAATTTTTCTAAATTTTTTTAATTTTTAAAAAATTTTTTTATTTTTTTCTAATTTTTTTAAATTTTTTAAATTTTTAAAAAATTTTTCCCCTTTTTTAAATTTTAAAAACTTCTATTAAATTTTTTTTAATTGTTTTTAATTTTTTCCCTTTTTTTAATTTTAAAAACTTCTATTAAATTTCTTAAATTTTTTTTAAATTTTATCCCTTTTTTTAATTTTAAAAAATTCTATTAAATTAATTTTAAATTTCCCTAAATCGCTTTCCCCCTCCCCGTGTTGCAGGATCAGCTGCACGCATATTAATATTAATATTAATATTAATTTTTTTAATTTAATTTTTTAAATTTTTAAAATGTTTTCTTTAATTTAATTTTTTAATTTTTAAATGTTTTTAATTTAATTTTTTAATTTTTAAAATATTTTTAATTTAATTGTTTAATTTTTAAAATATTTTTCAATTTAATTTTTTTCATTTTTTAAATTTTTTTAAATTTCTTAATTTTAAATTTTTTTAAATATAATTATTTAATTTTTAAAATACTTTCCAATTTAATTTTTTTCATTTTAAAATTTTTTTTAAATTGAATTTTTTAAATTTTTAATATTTTTTTAATAAATATTTTAATTTTTAATATTTTTTCTTATTTTTTGATTTTTTTAAAAATTCTATTAAATTATTTTTATTTTTCCTAGATTAATTTCCCCCTTTTTTCCCCGTTTTTTCCCCGTGTCGCAGGACCAGCTGCGGGCGGAGGCGCAGGACCTGGAGGACGCCGTGGCAGCGCTGCAGCGCTTCGTTGCGGCCGAGCGCGCGCTGCAGCTGCGGCGGCTGCGGGAGCGCCACGAGGCGCAGCTGGCGCTGCAGCGCCGCAACGTCGCCGCGCTGGAGCTGCACCGCAGCGCGCTGCAGCGCCGCATCGCCCAGGCCGAGGCTGCGGCGCGGCAGGACGAGCTGCAGATGCTGAGGGTGGGGAAAATGGGCGTTTTTGGGGTGAAAAATGGGGATTTTAGGGGAAAAATGGGGTTTTGGGGTGAAAAATGGGGAATTTGGGGGGAAAATGGGATTTTGGGGGAAAAATGGGGGATTTTGGACTGGGAAATTGGACATTTTTGGGTGGGAAATTGGGGAATTGGGGTTTGGGGGTGGGAAACTGGGATTTGGGGTGAAAAACTGGGATTTGGGGTGGGAAACTGGAGATTTGGCGGGAAAGTGGGGTTTTGGGGGAAAATGGGGGATTTGGGGGGAAAAATGGGGAATTTGGGGGTGGGACAGGCAGGACGGGCTGCAGATGCTCCGGGTGCGAAAAAAATGGGGGATTTGGGGTGAAAAATGGGGATTTGGGGGAAAAATGGGGGATTTGGGGGATTTAAGGGGGAAAAATGGGGATTTTAGGGTAAAAATGGGGTTTTGGGGTGAAAAATGGGGGATTTGGGGTCAGACAGACAGGACGGGCTGCAGCGCCGCATCGCCGAGGCCGAGGCTGCGGCGCGGCAGGACGGGCTGCAGATGCTCAAAGTGAGGGGAAAATGGGGCATTTTGGGGGAAAAATGGGGATTTGGGGGGGAAAATAGGGGATTTTGGGGAAAAATCGGGGATTTGGGGTGAAAAATGGGGAATTTGGGGGATTTAGGGAGGGAAAATGGCGGATTTGGGGGTGGGAAATTGGGGATTTGGGGGGGAAATGGGGGATTTGGGGGGAAATTGGGATTTTGGCGGAAAATGGGGGATTTTGGGGTGGGAGATTGGGGAATTGGGGTTTGGGAGTCTGGGAGATGGGGAAACTGGGATTTGGGGTGGGAAACTGGGATTTGGGGAGTGGGAGATTGGGGGATTGGGATTTGGGGGTGGGAAATTGGGGTTTGGGGTGGGAAAGTGGGATTTGGGGTGGGAAACTGGGATTTGGGGAAAAAATGGGGGATTTGGGGGAAAAATGGGGGATTTGGGGGTGGGAGATTGGGGAAATTGGGGTTTGGGGTAGGAAACTGGGATTTCGGGTAGGAAGATGGGATTTGGGGTGAAAAACTGGGATTTGGGGTAGAAACTGGGATTTGGGGTAGGAAGATGGGATTTGGGGTGAAAAACTGGGATTTGGGGTAGGAAGATGGGATTCCAGGTGAGAAATTGGGATTTGGGGGTGAAAATGGGGGATTTGGGGTGAAAAATGGGGGATTTGGGGTCAGACAGGCAGGACGGGCTGCAGATGCTCAGGGTGAGGGGAAATTGGGGCATTTTGGGGGAAAAATGGGGTTTTGGGGTGAAAAATGGGGATTTAGGGTAAAAATGGGGGTTTGGGGTGAAAAATGGGGGTTTTGGGAGAAAATGGGGGATTTGGGGGAAAAATGGGGGATTTTGGAGTGGGAAATTGGGGTTTGGGGAGTGGGAGACGGCAAAACTGGGATTTGGGGTGAAAAACTGGGATTTGGGGAGTGGGAGATGGGGGAATTGGGATTTGGGGGGGGAAATGGGGAATTTGGGGTCAGACAGGCAGGACAGGCTGCAGATGCTCAGAGTGAGGGGAAATTGGGGGATTTGGGGTGAAAAATGGGGATTTTGGGGAAAAATGGGGGATTTAGGGGGGAAAAATGGGGTTTTGGGGTGAAAAATGGGGAATTTGGGGTAAAATGCGGCATTTGGAATGGGAAATTGGGGATTTAGGGGGAAAAATGGGGGATTTGGGGGAAAAAATGAGGATTTTGGGGGAAAATGGGGGATTTGGGGGTGGGAAATTGGGGTTTGGGGTGAAAAACTGGGATTTGGGGTGGGAAGATGGGATTCCGGGTGAGAAATTGGGATTTGGGGTGAAAATGGGGGATTTGGGGTCAGACAGGCAGGACGGGCTGCAGATGCTCAGGGTGAGTGGAAATTGGGTTATTTTGGGGGGAAATGGGGGATTTTGGGGTAAAAATGGGGTTTTGGGGTGAAAAATGGGGAATTTGGGGTCAGACAGACAGGACGGGCTGCAGCGCCGCATCGCCGAGGCCGAGGCTGCGGCACGGCAGGACGGGCTGCAGATGCTCCGGGTGCGAAAAATGGGGGATTTTGGGTTATTTTGGGGGAAAAATGGGGGATTTGGGGGAAAATTGGGGTTTTGGGTAAAAAATGGGGGATTTGGGGCAAAAATGGGGATTTTGGGGATTTGGGGGGAAAATGGGGGATTTGGGGTGGGACAGGCAGGACGGGCTGCAGATGCTCCGGGTCAGGGTGGTTTGGGGGATTTTGGGGGAAAAATGGGGGATTTTGGGGGATTTGGGGGGAAAAATGGGGGATTTAGGGGTGGGAAATTGGGGGAATTGGGATTTTGGGGTGGAAGACTGGGATTTGGGGTGGGAAGATGGGATTCCGGGTGAGAAATTGGGATTTGGGGGGAAAATGGGGGATTTGGGGGAAAAATGGGGGATTTGGGGGAAAAATGAGGATTTTGGGGGAAAATGGGGGATTTGGGGGTGGGAAACTGGGATTTGGGGTGAAAAATTGGGATTTGGGGTGAAAAATTGGGGTTTGGGGTGAAAAACTGGGATTTGGGGTGGGAAGATGGGATTCCGGGTGAGAAATTGGGATTTGGGGTGAAAAATGGGGCATTTGGGGTCAGACAGGCAGGACGGGCTGCAGATGCTCCAGGTGGGTAAAAAATGGGGGTTTTTGGGGGGGAAATGAGGTTTTGGGGGGAAAATGGGGGATTTGGGGGTGAAAAACTGGGATTTGGGGTGAAAAACTAGGATTTGGGGTGGGAAACTTGGATTTGGGGTGGGAAACTGGGATTTGGGGTGGGAAACTGGGATTTGGGGTAGGAAGATGGGATTTGGGGTGAAAAACTGGGATTTGGGGTGGGAAACTGGGATTTGGGGGTGGGACAGGCAGGACGGGCTGCAGATGCTCAGGGTGGGGAAAAATGGGGGTTTTGGGGTAAAAAATGGGGATTTAGGGTAAAAATGGGGTTTTGGGGTGAAAAATGGGGATTTTGGGGGTAAAATGGGGGATTTGGGGTGGGAAATCAGGATTTGGGGGGTGGGAAATTGGGGGATTGGGGTTTGGGGTGGCAAACTGAGATTTGGGGTGGGAAACTGGGCTTTGGGGAGTGGGAGACTGGGATTTGGGGTTTGAGGGTGGGAAACTGGGATTTGGGGTGAAAAACTGGGATTTGGGGTGGGAAATTGGGGTTTGGGGGGTGGGAGATTGGGGAATTGGGTTTTGGGGTGGGAAACTGAGATTTGGGGTAGGAAGATGGGATTTGGGGTGAAAAATTGGGAATTGGGGTGAAAAACTGAGATTTGGGGTGAAAAACTGGGATTTGGGGTGGGAGACTGGGATTTGGGGTCAGACAGGCAGGACGGGCTGCAGATGCTCAGGGTGGGGGGAAAAATGGGGATTTTGGGGGGAAAATGGAGGATTTGGGGGAAAAATGGGGGATTTGGGGGAAAAATTGGGATTTGGGGGAAAAATTGGGATTTGGGGGGAAATGGGGGATTTGGGGATTTTGGGGGGCAAAATGGGGGATTTGGGGGTGGGAAATTAGGGTTTGGGGGGAAAAATGGGGGATTCAGGGGGAAAAATGGGGGATTTTGGGGGGAAAAATGGGGGATTTGGGGGAAAAATGGGGGATTTGGGAAAAATGGGGGATTTGGGAAAAATGGGGAATTGGGGGGGGAAAATGGGGGATTTGGGGGAAAAATGGGGGTTTTGGGGGAAAAATGGGGATTTAGGGGGGAAAATGGGGGTTTTGGGGGAAAAATGGGAGATTTGGGGGACAAAAATGGGGGATTTGGGGGGAAAATGGGGGATTTGGGGAGAAAATGGGGGATTTGGGGGGAAAATGGGGGATTTTGGGGAAAAATGGGGGATTTGGGGGAAAAATGGGGGATTTGGGGGGAAAATGGGGGATTTGGGGGGAAAAATGAGGGAATTGGGGTGGGAAATTGGGGATTTGGGGGAAAAATGGGGGATTTGGGGGGTCTGGGAGAGTTGGAGGGATTGGGATTAAATTTAAAACTTTAAATATTAAATTTTTCACCCTTTTTTTTGGTTTTTTTTTTTGGTTTTTTTGGGGTTTTTTTTCCCTTCTCAGGACATCAAAGGCACCTTCCTCAGGTCAGTGATTCCCTGCGGGAATTTTCGGGGGGATTTTCCGGGAAAAGCGGTGGGAAAAAAAAATGGAATTTTTGGGGGGTGATTTGGGATATTTGGGAGAGGAAAAAAGCCGGAAAATGTGGCTGAAAATGGGAAAAATTCAGATTTTTCCCAGTTTTTTTTCGGTTTTTTTTCCACGTTCCAGGTGTGAGAACATCAAATTCCAGGAGCCCGAAATGGTCCCGGTGGATTTGGGGAAAAAATTCCGGAATTGTTTCCTGCAGGACGCCGTGATGAGAAAAATGGAAAAAGTTTTCAGCAAAGTGCCCCAAGGTGGGGAAAAGGGGGAAATTTGGGGTTAAAAAAGGGAAAATTGGGGTTGAAAAGTGGAATCAAGGGGTGAAGAAGGAAAAATCTGTCGAAGGAATTGAAAATTTTGGGGTTTTAAAGGGTGGAAATTTGGGGTTAAGGAGGTGGAAATTGGGGTTGAAAGGGTGAAAATTTGGGAGTTGAAGGAGTGGAAATTTGGGGTTGAAGAGGCAAAAATTTGTCAAATTCTGGTGTTAAAGGGTTGGAAATTGGGGTTAAAGGGGTGAAAATTTGGCTTAAAGGGGTGAAAATTTGGGAGTTGAAGGAGTGGAAATTTGGGGTTGAAGAGGTAAAAATTTGACAAAGGAGTGAAAATTTTGGGGTTAAAGGGTTGGAAATTGGGGCTTAAAGTGGTGAAAATTTAATAGCTGAAGGGGTGAAAATTTGGGGTTGAAGGGATGGAAATTGGGGTTGAAGGGGTGGAAATTTGGGGTTGAGGGAGTGGAAATTTGGGGTTAAAGGGTTGGAAATTGGGGTTAAAGTGGTGAAAATTTCAAAGTTCAAAGAGTGGAAATTTGGGGTTAAAGGGGTGGAAATTTGGGAGTTGAAGGAGTGGAAATTTGGGGTTGAAGAGGCAAAAATTTGTCAAATTCTGGGGTTAAAGGGGTGGAAAATTTGGGTTAAAGGGGTGGAAATTTGAAGTTAAGGGATTGGAAATTTGGGGTTAAAGGGTTGAAAATTTGGGGTTGAAGGAGTGGAAATTTGGGGTTGAAGGGGTGGAAATTGGGGTTGAAGGGGTGGAAATTGGGATTTAAGGAACTGAAAATTGGTGGTTAAAGTGGTGAAAATTTCAAAGTTGAAGGAGTGGAAATTTGGGGTTAAAGTGGTAAAAATTTCGAAGTTCAAAGAGTGAAAATTTGGGGTTGAAGGGATGGAAATTGGTGGTTAAAGTGGTGAAAATTTCATAGTTGAAGGAGTGAAAATTTGGGGTTAAAGGATGGAAATTGGGTCTTGAAGTAGTGAAAATTTAATAGCTGAAGGAGTGGAAATTTGGGGTTGAAGGGATGGAAATTTGGGGTTGAAGAGGTAAAAATTTGTCAAATTCTGGTGTTAAAGGGGTGGAAAATTTGGTTAAAGGGGTGGAAATTTGAAGTTGAAGGGATTGGAAATTTGGGGTTAAAGGGATGGAAATTGGGGTTAAAGTGGTAAAAATTTCGAAGTTCAAAGAGTGAAAATTTGGGGTTAAAGGGTTGGAAATGGGGGTTGAAGGGGTGAAAATTTGGGGCTTAAAGGGCTGGAAATTGGGGTTAAAGGGGTGGAAATTTGGGGTTAAAGTGGTAAAAATTTAATAGCTGAAAGAGTGAAAATTTGGGGTTGAAGGGATGGAAATTGGGGCTTAAAGTGGTGAAAATTTCAAAGTTGAAGGAGTGAAAATTTGGGGTTAAAGGGGTGGAAATCTGGGACTTGAAGGAGTGGAAATTTTGGGTTGAAGAGGTAAAAATTTGACAAAGGAGTGAAAATTTTGGGGTTAAAGGGTTGGAAATTGGGGTTAAAGGGGTGGAAATTTGGGGTTAAAGTGGTAAAAATTTCGAAGTTCAAAGAGTGAAAATTTGGGGTTGAAGGGGTGAAAATTTTGAAGTTCAAAGAGTGAAAATTTGGGGTTGAAGGGATGGAAATTGAGGTTGAAGGGGTGAAAATTTGGGAGTTGAAGGAGTGCAAATTTGGGGTTAAAGGGGTGGAAATTTGGGGTTAAAGTGGTAAAATTTTCGAAGTTCAAAGAGTGAAAATTTGGGGTTGAAGGGATGAAAATTTGGGTTAAAGGGGTGGAAATTTAGGGTTAAAATGGTAAAAATTTTGAAGTTCAAAGAGTGAAAATTTGGGGTTAAAGGGCTGGAAATTGGGACTTAAAATGGTGAAAAATTCAAAGTTGAAAGAGTCAAAATTCAGATTTGAACGGTTGCGATCCAACCTTTCCGAGCACCCAACCCCTTTCCAAACCCCCCAAACCTTGCCTCAACACAAAAACTCCAACTTTTCTCTTCCAACACCCAAAAATCCTTTTTATCACCCCAAAACCCATAGCCGACATCACCTTGGACCCCTCCACCGCCCACCCGCGGCTCATCCTCTCCCACGACCGCCGCAGCGTCCGGTTGTCGGAGCGTCGCGCGGACGTTTCGCGGCGTTGCGACGGCGACCTGTGCGTGTTGGGAACGCCGGGATTCGGCGCCGGTCGGCATTACTGGGAGGTGGAAGTCGGCGGTCGGCGCGGTTGGGCGGTCGGCGCCGCCGGCGAGACGCACCAACACCGGGACAAAACCGGCGCGGCGTCGCCGAAACGCGAGATTTGGGCTTTGGGCGCCAGCGGGAAGAAGTACCAAGCGTTGACGGCGACGGAGCAAACGGCGTTGGCGCCCGGCGAGGAACCGCGGCGCTTCGGCGTCTACCTGGACTACGAGCGCGGCCAACTGGGGTTCTACAACGCCGAGAGCATGAGCCACATCCACACCTTCCACATCCGCTGCCGCCAGCGCGTCTTCCCCTTCTTCCGCGTCCTGGCCAAGGGGACGCGCATCCGCATCTGCACGCGGTGAGGGCGTGGTGTCGGAGGGTGGGGCGTCTTCTTCTTCTTCTTGGTCTTCTTGGTCTTCATCTTCATCTTCTTCTTCTTCTTCTTGGTCTTCTTCTTCTTCTTCTTCTTCTTCTTGGTCTTCTTCTTCTTCTTCGTCTTCTTCTTCTTCTTCTTCTTGGTCTTCTTCTTCTTCTTCTTGGTCTTCTTCTTGGTCTTCTTCTTCTTCTTGGTCTTCTTGGTCTTCTTCTTCTTCTTGGTCTTCTTGGTCTTCATCTTCTTCTTCTTCGTCTTCTTCTTCTTGGTCTTCGTCTTCGTCGTCTTCTTCTTCTTCTTGGTCTTCGTCGTCGTCGTCGTCCCACTCGCGCTGTTGGCCCCACCGGTTTTGGAGCCGGTTTTGGGTTAAAATGGGGTGAAATCTGTCCCTTCATGGCCGGATTTTGGTTAGAATGGGGCAGGAGCCAATTTTGGGTAAAAATGGGGCCAGATCCGCCCAATTTTGGAGCCAGTTTTGGGTTAAAATGAGAACCGGTTTTGGGTTGAAATGGGGCAGGATCTGTGCAATTTTGGAGCCGGTTTTGGTTTAAAATGGGAGCCGGTTTTGGGTTGAAATGGGGCAGGATCTGCCCAATTTTGGGTTTGGAGCCAGTTTTGGGTTAAAATGGGGCAAGATCCACATAATTTTGGAGCCAATTTTGGTTTAAAATGGGAGCCGGTTTTGGGTTAAAATGGGGCAGGATCCGCCCAATTTTGGGTTTGGAGCCGGTTTTGGGTTGAAATGGGGCAGAATCCGCCCAATTTTGGGTTAAAATGGGGCAGGATCCACCTAATTTTGAAACCAAATTTTGAGTTAAAATGTTGCAAAATCTGCCCCATTTTGGAGCCGGTTTTGGGTTAAAATGAGGCAAAATCCGCCAATTTTGGGTTAAAATGGAGAAGGATCAGCCCGTTTTTGGAGCCGGTTTTGAGTTAAAAAGTTGCAAAATCTGCCCAATTTTGGGTTAAAAAGTTGCAAAATCTGCCCAAATTTGGAGCCGGTTTTGGGTTAAAATGTTGCAAAATCTGCCCAATTTTGGGTTAAAATGAGGCAAAATCTGCCCAATTTTGGGTTAAAATGGAGAAGGATCTGCCCAATTTTGGAGCCAAATTTTGAGTTAAAAAGTTGCAAAATCTGCCCCATTTTGGAGCCAGTTTTGGGTTAAAATGAGGCAAAATTCGCCCAATTTTGGGTTAAAATGTTGCAAAATCCGCCCAATTTTGGAGCCAAATTTTGAGTTAAAATGTTGCAAAATCCGCCCAATTTTGGAGCCGGTTTTGGGTTAAAATGGTGCAAAATCTGCCCAAATTTGGAGCCGGTTTTGGGTTAAAATGAGGCAAAATCCGCCAATTTTGGGTTAAAATGGAGAAGGATCCGCCCAATTTCGGTTAAAAAGTTGCAAAATCTGCCCAATTTTGGGTTAAAATGTTGCAAAATCCGCCCAATTTTGGAGCCAAATATTGAGTTAAAATGTTGCAAAATCTGCCCAAGTTTGGGTCCGGTTTTGGGTTAAAAAGCGGCAGAATTTGCCCCTTTTGAGGTGAATTATTTGGATTTTTGGATTAATCCCCTTGAATCCGTTCCCTCCCTCCCCGCTTCAATTTTGGGCCCTTTTCGGGAATTTTTTCCTCCGTTTGGGACCAAAAATTCGAAAATTTTCCCAAAATCCGCATTTTTCAGCGCCTGGATTTTTTGGGAATCACCCTCCCCAAAATTCCCATTTTTTTCCCGTTTTTTTTGCTCCTTTCCTCACCATTTTTTGGGGGAAAATCTTGAATTTTCCTCCCTCCCCTCTGGCACTTTACGGGGTTCCCGCCCCCCACTCCCAAAATTGGGAATATTTATTTTTTTCCCTCATTTTTCCCATTTTTCCCCTTTTTTTTCCCGCCGCCCTCACGGTTTTCCCCTGAATTTTGGTGGATTTGGGAAATTTTGGCAATTCCAGAGTTCGTTCGGGATATTTTTGGCTAAAAAAATGAGAATTAAAATGGAGATTTAGTTTTTTGAAATGTCGATAATAAAAGAAATTAAATAAAATTTATCCGAGTTTTCAATTTGATAATTCCTGGGAGGAAAAAAAAACAATTTTCAGGATGAATTTTGGGGTGAATCATCCCAAAATTGGGGTCGGGATGGGGGGAAAAACCCAAAAATTTTTGGGCAGCACCAAAATGAAGAATGGGTCGAAAATAATCAAAAAACAGGAAAAACCACCAAAAAAAAGAAAAAAAAATCCCAAATTGATAAAAAAAAATTAAATTTTTGGGGGCCAAAGTGGAATTTCCATGTGGAAATTTTGTTAATTAATCCTCGTTAATTTTGTTAATTAATTAAGGATGACCCTGAGCTGCGTGTCCAAAATAATCAAAAAACAGGAAAAACCACCAAAAAAAAGAAAAAAAATCCCAAATTGATAAAAAAAATCGAATTTTTGGGGGCCAAAGTGGAATTTCCATGTGGAAATTTTGTTAATTAATCCTCGTTCATTTTGTTAATTAATTAATTAAGGACGACCCGGAGCTGCATGTCCAAAATAATCAAAAACCAGGAAAAATCACCAAAAAAAGAAAAAAAATCCCAAATTGGTAAAAAAAAATCGAATTTTTGGGGGCCAAAGTGGAATTTCCATGTGGAAATTTTGTTAATTAATCCTCGTTAATTTTGTTAATTAATTAATTAAGGGCGACCCCGAGCTGCGTGTCCAAAATAATCAAAAAACAGGAAAAACCACCAAAAAAAAGAAAAAAAATCCCAAATTGATATAAAAAAAATTAAATTTTTGGGGGCCAAAGTTTATTTTTTTATATATTTTTTTATTTATGTATATTTATATATATTTAACGAATATTCCAGAAATCCCCAAAACCTGAAAAAATTTTTAATATTTTTTTTTTTTTTACCTAATTTTGGGGTTTTTTTTGCTATTAAATTTTGTGGGTTTTTATTTACATTTTCCGCGAGAAACGACCCCAAAATCCCATCCCGATGACGTCATCAGAATTTTAATTTTTTTTAATTGACAAAAAAGCGTTTATTGACCTTTTTCTCCTCAAATTTTGGGGCGAAAAAGGCGGATTTTGGGTCAGCGGGTGCCGATGGTCACTTGCCACACCCGCACCAGGTTGTCGGTGTAGCCGGCGAAGAGGGTCTGGGGGGGCAAAAGGTCAAAGGTCACCACGGGGTCATGCGGGGGTCAAAGGTCAAGGGCCAGGTAAAGGTCAAAGGTCACTTAAGGGTGGCTCTGGGTCACTGAAAAGTCACTCAGGGGTCAAAGGTCACTCAGAGATCACATAGGGGTCACTCGGGGGTCACGCAAAAGGTCAAAGGTCACTCATGGGTGGATCTGGGTCACTAAAGGGAGGCTCAAAGGTCACTCAAGGGTCAAAGGTCACTAAAAAGTCACTCAGGGGTCACTCAGGGGTCACTCAAGGGTCAAAGGTCACTCAGAGATCACTCAACGGTCACTTAAGGGTCAAAGGTCACTCAAGGGTCACTAAAACTCAGGGGTCACGCAAGGGTCAAAGGTCACTCAGATTACTCAACGGTCACTCACGGGTCACTCAAAGGTCAAGGGTCAAGCAAAAGGTTAAAGGTCACTCAAGGGATGATCAAAGGTCACTCAAGGGTCAAGGGTCACTCAGATCATTTAGGGGTCACTCAGGGGTCAAAGGTCACTCAGACCATTCAGTGGTCACTCAGGGGTCACTCAAGGGTCAAAGGTCACTCAGACCATTCAACGGTCACTCAGGGGTCACGCAAAGGTAATTTAAGGGTCAGGGGTCACTCAAAGGTCATTAAAAGGTCACTCAGGGGTCACTCAAAGGCTAAAGGACACTCAAAAGTCACTCAAGGGTCATTGAAGGGTCACTCAAGGGTCAAGGGTCACTCAGGGGTCACTCAAGGGTCAAAGGTCACTGAGAGATCACTCAAAAGTCACTCATGGGTCATTTAAGGGTCACTCAGGGGTCAAGGGTCACTCAGGGGGTCACTCAAAGGTCAAAAGACACTCAAAAGTCACTCAGGGGTCATTGAAGGGTCACTTAAAGGTTACTGTGGGTCACTAAGGGTCAAAGGTCACTCAAAGGTCACTCAAGGGTCCCCAGGTCAGGTCCCAGGTGAGGGAAGGTCCCCAGGTGAGTCCCCAATGTGGGTGAGGTGATGTCCCCAGGTGGGTGAGGTGATGTCCCCCCAGGTGAGGTCAGGTCCTCAGGGAGGTCTCCAGGTCAGGTCCCAGGTGATGTCCCCAGGTGAGGGAAGGTCCCACCGAGGTGACATCCCCCCCAGGTAATGTCCCCAGGTGAGGTGATGTCCCTCCCAGTTGTAAGAAAGTCCCCAGGTGATGTCCCCAGGTGTGAGGAGGCCCCCAGGTGAGGTGATGCCTCCAGGTGACGTCCCCAGGTGGGTGAGGTGACACCCCCCCAGGTGATGTCCCACCCTCCCCAGGTGAGGTCCCAAGGTGAGGTGATGTCCCCCCCAAGGTGAGGTGATGTCCCCAGGTGAGGTCCCAGGTGATGTCCCCAGGTGAGGGAAGGTCCCACCCAGGTGATGTCCTCCCCAGGTGACGTGATGTCCCTCCCAGGTGTGAGAAGGTCCCCAGGTGATGTCCCCAGGTGAGGTGACGTCCCACCAGGCGAGGTCCCAGGTGATGTCCCCAAGTGAGGGAAGGTCCCACCCAGGTCATGTCCCCAGGTGAGGTGACGTCCCCCCAGGTGTGAGAAGGTCCCCAGGGGTGAGGAGGTCCCAGGTGAGATGATGTCCCCCCCAGGTGAGGTGACGTCCCCCCAGGTGATGTCCTCAGGTGGGTGAGGTGATGTCCCCCCAGGTGATGTCCCCAGGTGAGTCCCCAGGTGGGTGAGGTGATGTCCCCAGGTGAGGTCAGGTCCTCAGGGAGGTCCCCAGGTCAGGTCCCAGGTGATGTCACCCCCAGGTGTGAGCAGGTCCCCCCCAGGTGAGGTGATGTCCCCCCCAGGTGTGAGGTTTCCCCCCAGGTGAGGTGATGTCCCCAGGTAAGGGAAGGTCCCAGGTGAGGTCCCAAGGTGGGTGAGGTCCTCAGGGAGGTCCCCAGGTGATGCCCCCAGGTGGGTGAGGAGGTCCCCAGGTGAGATCCCCCCCAGGTGAGGTGACATCCCCCCAGGTGATGTCCCCAGGTCAGGTGATGTTCCCCCCCAGGTGTGAGAAGGTCCCCAGGTGATGTCCCCAGGTGAGGTGACGTTCCCTCAGGTGAGGTCCCCAGGTGGGTGAGGTGATGTCCCAAGGTGTGAGAAGGTTCCCCCAGGTGAGGTGATGTCCCCCCAGGTGCTGTCCCCCACCCAGGTGCTGTCCCCCCAGGTGAGGTCCCAGGTGAGGTCCCAGGTGAGGTCCCACCTGTCCGTCGGCCGACCAGGCCAGGGAGGTGCACTGGGGGGGTTCTGCTTTGCTGCTGGTGCTGATCACCTCCTGCTTCAGCTCGTCCACGATGATCTTCCCCTCCAGGTCCTGCGGGGGGGGACACACCTGTCACACACCTGGGACAGCTGGGACACACCTGTGTGACACCTGGGCACACCTGGGACACACCTGAGACACACCTGTCACACACCTGGGGACACCTGGATCCTGCCCAGGTCTTACCTGGATCCCACCAAGGTCCCACCCTGGTCCCACCTGGATCCTGCTGAGATCCCACCTCAAATCCCGCCTGGAACCTCTCCAGATCCCACCTGGAACCTCTCCAGGTCCCACCTGGATCCTGCTGAGATCCCACCTGGATCCTGCTGAGATCCCACCTGAAACCCACCCAGATCCCACCTGGATCTTTCTCAGGTCCCACCTGGATGTTCCTCAGATCCCACCTGGAACCTCTCCAGATCCCACCTCGATCCCATCCAAATCCCACCTGATCTTCCTCAGGTCCCACCTGGATCCTGCTGAGATCCCACCTCAAATCCCACCTGGAACCTCTCCAGATCCCACCTGGATCTTCCTCAGGTCCCACCTGAATCCCACCTGGATCCCACCAAGGTCTAACCCAGATCCTGCTGAGATCCCACCTGGATTGTGCCCAAAACCCACCTGAAACCTCTCCAGATCCCACCTGAAACCCACCCAGGTCCCACCTGGATCTTCCTCAGATCTCACCTGGACCCTGATCAGATCCCACCTGAAACCCACCCAGGTCTTCCTCAGATCCCACCTGAAACCTCCTAAGATCCCACCTGGACCCTGCCCAGATTCCACCCAGATCCTGCCCAGGTCCCACCTTGATTCTGAGTGGATCCTGCCCAAATCCCACCTGGATCCTGCTGAGATCCCACCTGAGTCCTGCTGAGATCCCACCTGGAACCTCTCCAGATCCCACCTCGATCCCGTCCAGATCCCACTAGGATCCTGCCCAGGTCCCACCTGAATGTTCCCCAGATCCCACCTGGATCTTCCTCAGATCCCACCCAGATCTTCCTCAGGTCCCACCTGGATCCTGCTGAGATCCCACCTCAAATCCCACCTGAAACCCACCCAGATCCCACCTGGAACCTGCTGAGATCCCACCCGGATCTTTCTCAGGTCCCACCTGGTTCTCACCCAGGTCCTGCTAGGATCCCACCTGGATCCTGCTGAGATCCCACCTCAGTCCCACCTGGATCTTCCTCAGGTCCCACCTGGATCCTGCTGATATCCCACCTGGATCCCACCTGGAACCTCTCCAGATCCCACCTGAATCCCACCTGGATCCCACCAAGGTCTAACCCAGATCCTGCTGAGATCCCACCTGGATTGTGCCCAGATCCCACCTGAAACCCACCCAGATCCCACCTGAAACCCACCCAGATCCCACCTAGATCTTCCTCAGATCCCACCTGGATCCTGCTGAGATCCCACCTGGATCCCACCTGGATCCCACCTGGAACCTCTACAGATCCCACCTGGATCCTGCTGAGATCCCACCTGGATCTTGTCCAGATCCCACCTGGATCCTGCCCAGATCCTGCCCAGATCCCACCTGAAACTTCCTCAGGTCCCACCTGGATCCTGCAGAGATCCCACCTCAGATCCCACCTGGAACCTCTCCAGATCCCACCTCGATCCTGCCCAGATCCCACCTGGATCCTGCCCAGATCCTGCCCAGATCCCACCTGAAACTTCCTCAGGTCCCACCTGGATCCTGCTGAGATCCCACCTCAGATCCCACCTGGAACCTCTCCAGATCCCACCTCGATCCTGCCCAGATCCCACCTGGATCCTGCCCAGATTCTGCCCATGTCCCACCTGGATCTTCCTCAGATCCCACCTGGAACCTCTCCAGATCCCACCTGGATCTTCCTCAGGTCCCACCTGGATCCTGCCCAGATCCCACATGGATCCTGCTGAGATCCCACCTCAGATCCCACCTGGAACCTCTCCAGATCCCACCTGGATCCTGCTCAGGTCCCACCTGGATCTTCCTCAGATCCCACCTGGATCCCACCAAGGTCTAACTCAGATCCTGCTCAGATCCCACCTCGATCCCGTCCAGATCCCACCTGGATCCTGCCCAGATCCCACCTGGATCCCACCCAGATCCCACCTTGATTCTGAGTGGATCCTGCCCAAATTCCACCTGAAACCCATCCAGATCCCACCTGGATCTTCCTCAGGTCCCACCTGGACCCTGCTCAGATCTCATCCAGATCCCACCTGGATCCTGCCCAAATCCCACCCAGATCTTCCTCAGGTCCCACCTGGATCCTGCTGAGATCCCACCTGGGTCCTGCTCAGATCCTACCTGGATCCCACCTGGAACCTCTCCAGATCCCACCTGGATGTTCCTCAGATCCCACCTGGATCCTGCCCAGATTCTGCCCATGTCCCACCTGGATCTTTCTCAGGTCCCACCTGGATCTTGCCCAGATCCCACCTGGATCTTGTCCAGATCCCACCTCAAATCCCACCTGGAACCTCTCCAGATCCCACCTGGATCCTGCTGAGATCCCACCTGGATCCCACCTGGATCTTCCTCAGATCCCACCTGGATCCTGTCCAGGTCCCACCTGGATCCCACCAAGGTCCCACCCTAGTCCCACCTAGACCCTGGCCAGATTCTGTCCAGATCCCACCTGGATCTTCCTCAGATCTCACCCGGATCTTCCTTATGTCTCACCTGGACCCTGCTCAGATCCCACCTGGATCCTGCTGAGATCCCACCTCAGATCCCACCTGGATCCTGTCCAGATCCCACCTGGATCCCACCTGGATCCCACCAAGGTCTAACCCAGATCCTGCTGAGATCCCACCTGGATTGTGCCCAGATCCCACCTGGATCCTGCCCAGGTCCCACCTGGATCTTCCTCAGATCCCACCAGGTCCCACCAAGTTCCACCAGGTTCCACCAGGTTCCACCTGGATCCCACCAGGTCCCACCAGGTCCCCCCAGGTCCCCCCAGGTCCCCCCAGCTCAGAAACAGCCTCTGGGTCTCCCCACGGGGAACTCGGAGACATCCCAAAGTTTCATCACAGCTTCAGGTGGACCTTCCCCGATTCCCACCACCCCCAGGGACATCCCACCACTGTGGGGACATCCCACCACTGTGGGGACATCCCACCACCATGAGGTTGTCCCACCACCATGGGGTTGTCCCACCATCCCCATGGGGTTGTCCCACCACCACCATGGGGTTGTCCCACCACTGTGGGGTCATCCCACCACCTCCATGGGGTTGTCCCACCACCCCCATGGGGTTGTCCCACCACCATGAGGTCATCCCACCACCCCTATGGGGTTGTCCCACCACTGTGGGGTCATCCCACCACTGTGGGGACATCCCACCACTCCTATGGGGTCATCCCACCACCATGGGGTTGTCCCACCACCACCATGGGGTTGTCCCACCACCATGAGGTTGTCCCACCACTGTGAGGTCATCCCACCACTCCTATGGGGTTGTCCCACCACCTCCATGGGGTCATCCCACCACCGTGGGGACATCCCACCACCACTGTGGGGTTGTCCCACCACTCCTATGGGGTTGTCCCACCACCACCATGAGGTTGTCCCACCACCACCATGAGGTTGTCCCACCACTGTGGGGTCATCCCACCACCACCATGAGGTTGTCCCACCACTCCTATGGGGTCGTCCCACCACCATGAGGTCGTTCCCACCACCATGGGGACGTTCCCACCACCGTGAGGTCGTTCCCACCACTCCTATGGGGTTGTCCCACCACTGTGGGGTCATCCCACCACCATGGGGTTGTCCCACCACCACCATGGGGTCATCCCACCACTGTGGGGTCATCCCACCATGGTGAGGTCATCCCACCACCGTGAGGTCATCCCACCACCACCATGGGGTTGTCCCACCACTGTGGGGACATCCCACCACTCCTATGGGGTTGTCCCACCACCCCTATGGGGTTGTCCCACCACCATGGGGTTGTCCCACCACTGTGGGGTCATCCCACCACTCCTATGGGGTTGTCCCACCACTCCTATGGGGTTGTCCCACCTCCATGGGGTTGTCCCACCACTCCTATGGGGTTGTCCCACCACTCCTATGGGGTTGTCCCACCACCGTGGGGACATCCCACCACCCCTATGGGGTTGTCCCACCACTGTGGGGACATCCCACCACTCCTATGGGGTTGTCCCACCTCCATGGGGTCATCCCACCACTCCTATGGGGTTGTCCCACCACTGTGGGGACGTTCCCACCACCATGAGATCGTTCCCACCACCACCATGGGGTTGTCCCACCACCATGAGGTTGTCCCACCACCATGGGGTCATCCCACCACTGTGGGGTCATCCCACCCCCGTGGGGACATCCCACCACTGTGGGGTCATCCCACCACTGTGAGGTCATCCCACCACCCCCATGGGGTCGTCCCACCACCGTGGGGTCATCCCACCACTGTGGGGTTGTCCCACCACTCCAATGGGGTTGTCCCACCACCATGAGGTTGTCCCACCACACCCATGGGGTCATCCCACCACCCCTATGGGGTTGTCCCACCACCCCCATGGGGTTGTCCCACCCCTATGGGGTTGTCCCACCACCCCATGGGGTCATCCCACCACTCCTATGGGGTCATCCCACCACTGTGGGGTCATCCCACCACCATGGGATCATCCCACCACCACCATGGGGTTGTCCCACCACCCCCATGGGGTTGTCCCACCACTGTGGGGTCATCCCACCACCTCTATGGGGTTGTCCCACCCGTGGGGTTGTCCCCCCGGTGGGGTTGTCTTCTCCTCACCCAGATTTTGATGCTGGGCCCGGTGGCGGCGCACAGCCAGTAGCGGTTGGGGCTGAAGCAGAGCGCGTTGATGACGTCTCCACCGTCCAACGTGTACAGGTGTTTGCCCTCGTTGAGGTCCCACAGCATGGCCTGACCGTCCTGGGGACACCAGAACCACCACGAGGTCCATCAGGGGGGTGAGGGACACCAGGACGGCCGCGAGGAGCTCCAGAAGGTCTCCAGAACGTCCGGGAAGTTCTTGAGAACCTCCAGGAACATCTTGAGAACCTCCAGGAACATCTTGAGAACCTCCAGGAAGATCTCGAGAACCTCCAGGAAGTTCTTGAGAACCTCCAGGAGCTCCAGAACGTCCCTGTGAGCTCCAAAAGGTCTCCAGAACCTCCAGGAACTTCTCGAGAACCTCCAGGAAGTTCTCGAGAACCTCCAGGAACATCTTGAGAACCTCCAGGAAGATCCTCCAGGAGCTCAGGAACATCCCAGGAGCTCCAAAAGGTCTCAGGAACCTCCAGGAAGATCTCGAGAACCTCCAGGAAAAGTCCCAGGAGCTCCAAAAGGTCTCCAGAACCTCCAGGAAGATCTCGAGAACCTCCAGGAAGTTCTCGAGAACCTCCAGGAACATCTTGAGAACCTCCAGGAAGATCCTCCAGGAGCTCCAGAACGTCCCTGTGAGCTCCAAAAGGTCTCAAGGACCTCCAGGAAGATCTCGAGAACCTCCAGGAAGATCTCGAGAACCTTCATGAGGATATCAAGGACCCCCAGGAAGATCTCAAGAACCTCCAGGAAGATCCCAAGAACCTCCAGGAACATCTCAAGAACCTCCAGAAACGCCCTCCAGGAGCTCAGGAACATCCCCGTGAGCTCTAAAAGGTCTCAGGAACCTCCAGGAAGTTCTCGAGAACCTCCATGAAGATCTTGAGAACCTCCAGGAAGATCTCAAGGACCTCCAGGAAGATCTCAAAGACCTCCAGGAAGATCTCGAGAACCTTCATGAAGATCTCAAGGACCTCCAGGAAGTTCTCAAAAACCTCCAGGAACATCTTGAGAACCTCCAGGAAGATCCTCCAGGAGCTCCAGAACGTCCCCGTGAGCCCCAAAAGGTCTCAGGAACCTCCAGGAAGATCTCGAGAACCTCCAGGAAGAGCTCAAGAACCTCCATGAAGATCTCAAGAACCTCCAGGAAGTTCTCAAGGACCTCCAGGAAGATCTTGAGAACCTCCAGGAAGTTCTTGAGAACCTCCAGGAAGATCCTCCAGGAGCTCCAGAATGTCCCCGTGAGCTCCAAAAGGTCTCAGGAACCTCCAGAAAGTTCTCGAGAACCTACAGGAAGATCTCAAGAACCTCCAGGAAGATCTCAAGAACCTTCATGAGGATCTCAAGGACCTTCAGGAAAATCTCGAGAACCTCCAGGAAGATCTCAAGGACCTCCAGGAACATCTTGAGAACCTCCAGGAAGATCCTCCAGGAGCTCCAGGAAGTTCTCGAGAACCTCCAGGAACATCTTGAGAACCTCCAGGAAGATCTCAAAAACCTCCATGAGGATCTCAAAGACCTTCAGGAAGATCTCGAGGATCTCCAGGAAGATCTCAGGAACCTTCATGAGGATCTCAAGGACCTTCAAGAAGATCCTCCAGAAGCTCCAGAACGTCCCAGGACCACCCCAGGACCATTCCAGATCATAAGAGGTTCCCTGGGGTATCCCAGAAGATCCCAAGAACCTCCATGAAGTTCTCGAGAACCCCCATGAAGATCTCAAAGATCTTCAGAAAGATCCTCCAGGAGCTCCAGAACAGCCTCATGAGCTCAAAAAGGTCTCCAGAACCTCAAGGAAGTTCTCAAGAACCTTCATGAGGATCTCAAGGACCTTCAGGAAGATCTCGAGAACCTCCAGGAAGATCTCAAGGACCTCCAGGAACATCTTGAGAACCTCCATGAGGATCTCAAAGATCTTCAAGACGATCCCCCAGGAGCTCCAGAACATCCCTATGAGCTCCAAAAGGTCTCCA